CCCCCGCCCCACCAGAAGCTGAGTAATTCAGCGGCTAGCGCTTCAGCGCATGCCGCAATTCAATCACCCCGGAGCCCTGCTGCCGCTTTCCATTCCCCACGCTGCCGCAGCTGCTCCCGCTCCCGCTTCTTCTCCCCAGCACCGTGCTCTCCTCTGCCGGCGCTGCGATCCCCACGCGGGTCCTCTCATCGGTGCCGCTCTCCTTGCAGCTCGTCTAGGCTGCCCTCCCCGTTTCTGGCTGCTGCATCTTCCCATCGCAGGCACCAGTACAGACATCTCTCTGCCTCTCTTGCCTCCTTAAGGGCATCACACCTCCACTCCTGCTTGCCCTGCTCCCCATACCATTATCGGTACTGCAGCCGCTCCAGCTTCCATGATGACCGTTCGCCGCGTCATGGCACCTACCATCGCGACGACCACAACTTTCGACATTTCCATAGCCAGTATTCTTACCGACCACGATCCGTCTCCGACTACGCTGCACGCAGGCACTCTCCAATCCCGGCTCACCTTACTCTGCCGCATCATGCGCCATCACCATCTCACCACTCTTCAGAGCCGGAACATACTGCCTTTGTGCACCATGCCTCGGGGTCTTCCATCCCGGTCTCATCTCCTCCGGAGGATGCGGTGAACCCCGACGACAGCTCTCCTCCAGACGACTTCCGTCAATTCCAAGAATTATTTAAGCGGGTAGCGATTAGACAGGAGATTCCCCTACAAGAGCTCAAAGATAAGCACCACAAGCTTTTTAGGAATCTCCAACCACGACACAGTTCACGCCTCGCCATCCCTCTTGACGAAGGCATCCTGGAACTGGCTGACGAAGTGTGGCATGCTCCAGCGTCGGCCTTTCCCACCAACAAAAGAGCCAACAAGAAATATTTCATGCCACTAAAAGGCATGGAATTCCTCTTTGCCCATCCACAGCCTAACTCTTTAGTAGTCGACGCAGCTCAGCAAAGATCTAGAGCCTCTCACCTCAAGCACCAGGGCTCTGACAAAGACGTAAGGAGGCTTGACATCCGGGGCAGAAAGGTATACACCTCAGCGACTTTACTCCTCAGAATCGCCAATTACTCGGCGCATCTTTCCAACCATTCCTTCGATACAATTTCTCGCCTCACTCCTCTCATGGATCACCTCCCCGATTCAAAAAGATCGATCCTGAGATCAGTCATCCAAGAGGGCTACACATCAGCGAGAACAGCCCTCCAGATGGCCATGGACGTGGCTGATACTGCTGTTCGCTCTGCCGCTACGGCTATTGTTATGCGTAGAGCTTCTCTCCTTCAAGCGGCAGGAGTTCCAAAGGAACTACAGATAAAGGTCGAGGACTTACCCTTCGACAAGGATAAGCTTTTTGCAGAGACCACGGATGCAATCCTGCACTCCTCTAAAGACTCTCAGACAACCCTGCAAACTTTGGGGATGTATACACCCCCCTTTAAGAGATGTTGGTACTCACCCTATCAGCACAGATATGAACAAAAATGATTAGAGGTTTGGAATGGGTCTCATATGAGGAGAGATTAAAAAGTCTTAGACTTTTCAGCTTAGAAAAGAGGAGACTAAGAGGGGATATGAAAGAGGACTATAAGATTATGATTGATGTGGAAAAAGTGAGTAAGAAATAATGATTTACTTTTTCTCGTAACATAAGAGCTAGGGGCCCACCAGATGACATTAATAGATAGCAGGTTTAAAACAAAACAAAGGAAGTTTTTCTTCACATAGCCCACAGTCAACCTGTGGAACTCCTTACTAGAGCATCAGCCATCTCACCAACCACCCCTCCCACGCCGTCCCTCTTCAGGGACCCCTCTTACAAAACCCTCCTCAGACTAGAGGTCGACCACCTTCTCTCTCTGGGTGCCATAGAGCCAGTCCCGAAGGACTTCAGGAACAGGGGCTTTTACTCTCACTATTTCCTCACCCAGAAAGGGTCCGGAAGCTGGTGCCCTATCCTAGACCTCTGTCGTCTGAACAAATATCTCAGGAAACAATGATTCAAAATGACAACGCTAGCTGCCATAATCCCTATTTTAAATCCACAGGACTGGTTTGCCGCCCTCGACCTCCAGGACGCCTATTTCAACGTCCCTATCCACCCTGCTCACAGAAGGTTCTTGTGCTTCGTCATGGCGAAGAACCATTTTCTATACAAGGTCCTCCCCTTTGGGCTATCCTCAGCCCCCAGGGTGTTCTCAAAGATCCTATCCGTGGTCACGGCCTTTCTCTGACGCCAAGGGGTGCTCATCTTCCCTTATCTGGACGATTGCCTGCTCAAAGGTGCTTCGGCACATGAGGTCTCCCACATGGTTCACCTCACGATGCAAGTCTTTCGATTGCTTGGACTCCTCCTCAACGAGCAGAAGTCCGTCTTGCATCCCACTCAGGACATTGAGTTCACTGGGGCCCGTCTGGACTCACTTGCCGGTAGAGCGTTCCTACCGTTGCAGAGGTTTCAGGCCATCCAGGACCTCATTTGCACCATCATCGTGAGCCCCACCGTTCCACTCATCACAGGTCTCAGACTCATGGGCCACATGGCCGCCACAACATACGTGGTGAAATACGCCAGACTACACCTGCGTGCCCTTCAGCACTGGTTGACCCTCGTATACCACCACACCAGATACGATCTCCACAGGCCCGTTACACTGCCACCTGGCGTTCTTCAATCATTCCGATGGTGGACCAGCCACACAAACCTGCTGTCGGGTGTACCATTTCACCCGCACCAGCCTCTCCACCAAATCACAACAGACGCCTCCCTACTAGGCTGGAGGGCCCACATGGGTTCCCTCTCGGTACAAGGCCAATGGTCCCCACAAGAAGCAAGGTTGCACATAAACCTCCTAGAGCTTCGTTCTATTTTCAACGCATGCAAATCCTTCCTCGTCTACATTCGGAATACCACTGTGACGATACTTACAGACAACATCGCAGCCATGTACCACATAAATCGCCAGGGCGGCGCTCGCTCCCGTTCGCTATGCATGGAAGCTATCCGCTTTTGGAACTGGTGCATTCGCCACGAGGTGACTCCTTTGGCATCCTACTTACCTGGCACCACAAACGTGACGGCAGACTTCCTGAGCAGACACTTCCACTCGAAACACGAATGGGAAATGCACGACGGCATATTACGCGACATCTTCCAACGTGGGGGAACTCCCCGAGTGGACCTCTTCGCAACTCCCGCCAACACAAAATGCCGCAAGTTCTGCACCAGAGCACGCCTGGGCCGTGCATCTCTAGGGGATGCCCTCCTCGTGACTTGGCGCGGACCCCTCCTTTATGCATTTCCCCCATACCTCTCATTCCCAAGGGTCTTCAGAAGCTGAAGGCGGACAGGGCTACGCTAATCCTCATAGCCCCAGATTGGCCTCACCAGCACTGGTTTCCATTCCTGCACCGCCTCTCTGTGCGGACACCGATCCGCCTTCCGCCTCTCCATGACCTCCTCACACAAGACCAAGGACGCCTGAAACATCCCCAGATACAAATGCTGAACCTAACAGCATGGTTCCTAACTGGCTGAACCCATGTCCAACACGTCCTAGTACAAAGTAGACGACAAACCATGAGGAAAACTTACCTTCACAAGTGGCACAGATACTCCTCCTGGTGTACCTCGAACCACCACGATCCGACACATCCGTCCATTTCCTCCGTACTGGACTATGCACTGCACCTAAAAAACAAGGGTCTTGCGTTAGCCTCCATCAGGGTGCACCTCGCAGCAATATCAGCATTCACACCACTTACAGATGGTGTTTCTATCCTCGCCCATCCTATGACTAAACGATTTCTCAAGGGCCTTACCAATATGGACCCACCATGCAACCCAGTCCCTCCTGTGTGGAGCCTGGATGTGGTACTCGACGCCCTAATGAGGCCACTGTTCGAGCCTCTGGCGACTGTACCCTTACATCTTCTCACTATGAAAACAATCTTCTTACTTTCCATAACATCGTCACGCAGCGTGGGCGAGCTCTCAGCCATGATGGCTACACCACCATACACAATCTTTTGCAAAGACGGGGTAGTGTTGAGACTGCACCCAAAATTCATACCTAAGATCGTCTCCCATTTCCATGTCAATGGCCATTTGCATGAATGGCGAGCTTTCTGCCATGATGGCCATTCCACCATATACGATTTTCCGAAGTTCCTACCCAAGGTTGTCTCCAATTTCCACATTAATGAACCAGTCATCTTGCCAACCTTTTTCCCGAAGCCCCATGCCTCGCCACGAGACGCGGCCCTATATTCCTTGGACATCTGCAGGGCCTTAGCGTTCTACATTAGACCGTACTAAATCGTTCAGGCTTACGGACCATTTATTCGTCTCCCTGGCACACAGGTCAAAGGGTCAACGTCTATCTTCCCAAAGAATCTCCAATCTCGTAACCTCATGCATAGTGCAATTGTACGCAACGAGAGGGTTACCCCTTCCGTCCCAACCACACGCTCATTCCACTAGAGCCATGGCCACATCTACAGCGTTCCACAGAGACGTATCTCTGAAGGACATTTGCAGAACGGCGACCTGGTCCTCTCATGGGACCTTCGCTAAGCATTATTCTATCTCTCTCTCTCACTCAGATGGGGCAGTGGCGACTGCGGCGCTCTCCACGGCGGATAAATAGGGTCTCCGTGCCCTACTTATCAAATTCTGTTGGTACCTTCCTTCTGAACATACTATAATGTATCCACCTTAAACATATTGTACATGCCAATGTCCTGAAACTTCCTTTTAGAACCAAAGGTCATCATGAGAAGAGATATATTGATGCATTCATTGTAGATGTCTTCAAGATGACTTACAGAAAGCGAAGTTACTCACCTCCGGTGCAGTAACTGTCGTTCTTCGAGGTGGTGTCCCCACGGGTGCTCCATTACCCGCCCTCCTCCCCGCTTTGGAGTCCTCTCTCTCTCTCTCTCTCTCTCTGCT